GAAGGAAGGAAAGAAAGAAAGAAAGAAAGAAAGAAAGAAAGAAAGAAAGAAAGAAAGAAAGAAAGAAAGAGAAAAAGAAAAAAAGGAAGGGAAAGGGGGAGAGAAAGAAAAAAGAAAGAGAAGGAAGGAAGAAAGGAAAAGAAAGAGAGAGAAAGAAAGAAAAGAAAAGAAAGGAAGAAAAAGAGAGAAAGAACTGTCTTAGTGAAAGCCTAGGTCTCGGGTGACCTACACAGTGTGATTTCTGCGCTGACCCCTCCCAGCAGAACTGGCTCCTGCTTCCCCGCCTGTAGCTGGATGTGAAATTTGACCCCCATCTGAACAGATATCAACCTTGAGTCCAAGTAATTCTTGGGCTATGAGAACCCAGGAGATGTAAAAATAAGTGCATTTCAAATTTTAAAAAATTACTGAAAATTAATGAGTTCGTATTTGTAAAGCAATTACAGCAAATGTGTTTTGATTAGAAATTTGGAAGGATTCATTTATGTTTCAGGGTTCTAATATTATAGCAAGCACAAGTATAACATGGAGTGCTAGAGGAATTTAATGTTTTAAGTCACCAGAGACATTCTGACTTCCCTGGGATAGGTCTGGTTCAGACTGTGCCCCAGACTCTATCCACATTCACTTCTCTTTAAGAAGCCCTCGGCTAAATCACCTGGTGTCTTATCTTACATTACTGGAAGAGATCAATTACACCCAGGTCAGTTACAACCCAAGGTGCATACATTACAGAGTCTCCCCTAACTAATGGGGTTTTGATGAGAATGGCGGACTTCATTCATCTTCCATAATTTTCTGAAGCGCTATTGTCTTCATTTTATCAAATTGAAAAACTTCTCACTGAAGTTGAGACTCTTGCCCAAGGTCACACAGCTAATGAAGTGACGGGAGCCAGCTGGGTACAGAGGACAGTTAAGGCAAGGTGTCTTTAAGAAACAAAACGGCACCCGGGCCAAGGTGGTAGGGTGAGGACACGCTGCAGTGGTCATTTCTCAGGGTTAGTGAAAGGAACGGCCACACCCTACTTTAACTGTTTCTGTGATATTTGGGTTCCTACAGCCCCATTTGTTTTCTTTCTCTTTGTTTCTTGTTTTAATTTGCCAGAGGGCATGTGTGCTCACTGGAGAGAGAGAGAAAGAGGGAGGGAAAGTGAGAAAGCACTCCCCATGGGGGATGGTCATAGTGCACCCCCTGCTCCTCCATTTTTCCCTCCTTTGGGGACTTTGGGCACACACACACACACACACACACACACACACGCACACACTCAGCAGTGTTTTCCAAGCTGCTGGGTCCAGGACTCCATATGGTCCATTGTCCATATTGGATCAACTCCATTAACCTCCAGGTCACAGCTGACCCCCAATTTGTTTTAATGGTGCTTGTCCAGCAATATCAAAAGGTTATTCTTTAGACATTAACCCCAAACAACTTCCCTTGGTTTGACTTCAACCACACCTAGCTACAGCTTCCCATGGAGCTGGCTGGAAAGAGGAAGCACTGGCCAGGCCACACCACCGTGCTGCCCACTCAGCTTTCTACTCCTCACTATAAGTGAATGTGGCTCAACTATGTTTTTCTTCTCCCATCCCCAACTCTTCTTAGAGTCCAGCGGACAGAAAGGACATTACGTAATGTAAGTCACAGCAGAGAAAAGACGCATCTCTTCTTGCATAGGAACACCCAGACATGAGGTCATTCTTGGCCTACAGGTCTGATTGTCTCCTCAATGCTTGAACCTTAGTCAGAAGGAACGGTTCTTTCTTCATCCGCGGCCGTGTCACTCGGAAGTCTTTTACTTCTAAGGGATAGAAATCCAGCTTGAACTGACTTAAGAATAAAATGCAGGACAGGAGTGGCTACTCCAGCTGTTCAACGTCCTCAGGCATTTGACTCTTCTCTTTTCCTTTTTGTTGACCTCACTCTTGGGCAGGTTCTCTGTGTACTGTGGTCCTGGCAGCTCCAGGGTGCCAAGCCTTAGTTTGGAAACCAACAGAAAGAGAATCTTCTCAATTCCGTTTCAAAGCAAGCCCCAGAGCTGAATCCCATTGGCTTTACTTAGCTCACATGCCTATTCCTGAACCAGTCATGGAAGCCAGCAGGGTCAAATACACTGGCTTACCCTGAGTCACATCAGTTCCCTGCTCCCACAGAGCTGGGGTGAGAGATTGACCCCGGTGGAACCACACAGGAGGAGGGGTGAACAAGTGTGACTCTCCTTTAGGCAGGTGGCCCGGCACACAATGGGTAGGCCTGCCAAGCTCACGCATTGAGGGGAAGCTAAATCAGGACCGTGTGGCCCTCAACAAGGCCATGAGAGGCAAAAGCACATCTTCTGATTCAGCGCGGCCTGAAACACATTTTTCCTTGAGGGAATAGATGTGCCAGCCCGCCCTTCTAACCTTCAGAACAAGGTTAGGGTGTCACGTTTTCTTCACTGCTGTGTGGCTTCTACCTGTCAGTCCCGCACGAGTCCTGTAACTTGAGTCAGCTGCTGGGGAGTCAGCTGCGTCCATCAGCGTGAACTGGCGAGATCGAGTTCCACGAGACAGGGGACAGACCTTGGGCGCCAGTAGATTCCACAAGGTCCTGCCCCCTGTGGAGGGCCCCTGGGCGGGCAGCCAGCAAGCTTACCCTGACCACACCCTGCCCTGGCTTCCAGGCCTTCCTCACAGGGCAGCACCAGGCTCCCTGGGGCTCACGGATGAGGACTCTGGCACGGGCTTGGCTCAGAGTAGACCCAGACGGCAGCACCGTCATTACTTCTGGGTACTCTGAGCACCCAGCTCATGACAACAGCCACTGTTATTAGGCACATGGAGTGTGCGTGGTAGGACTCCCGGGAGATACCCAGGAACCGTGGCTGGTGACACAACTGTTGTGGCTGTGAGGGACTAAACATGGTAGCAGGTGCTAACTTCCCGGGGATCATTAGGGGCTTTGTTTGTGTGTTTGGCTGAACTTTCTTTCTTTCTTGGAGAGGTTTCTGCTATACGGCGCGTGCACTCGCCAGAGAGACAAAAAGAGACAGAGAGACAGAAAGCGAGAAATCACCCCCCAGGGGGGATGGCCACACCGCAATCCCTTCTCCTCTGTTCTCCTCTCGGGATCTTGGGCATGCACGCACACGCACCCCGTGTGAGTTTTAAGCCACCAGGTCCGGGACTTGAGCCGCATTCAACTACGTGGGAGTCCAGCGACATAGCCATTACGCCAACTGCTGGTCCCATGTTTGGCTGAACTTTCTCTCCCTCTACTCAGAATATTTTTCTTACTGCTTCTCTTTCCTTCATGAGGCCATCTGCTTACCCATGTGCTCGATGCACAAACCTTTGGCTATCAGGTTCCTCAGAATCTGATAGCCAAAGGTTTTCTGTTTGTTTGTTTGTTTTTTTGGTTTTTTTCTGAGATCCATCTAGGAAGGTTTTTCCCAAAGTGGGGTCCCCCTGTCCTCCTGCATGAGAGTGTTTGTGAACTGTGAAGACCTTTAGGCCCTTCCAGTCCAAAAAGCTGAAACTCAGCCACTGGGGCTGGGGGCTAGAAGTCTGCATCTGAAAAGGCTCCCAAGCTGGGCTCAATGGGGGAAATTCTGATGCATCTCATCTGGGGCTACTCAACAGGCCTCCGGTCCCAACAGGAAAGTCCTGATTCACTAGGCCCTGCCCCCTCTGGCCCTTCTATCAGGCAATTCAAAGTCTCCAGGCCCACGAGTTACTGATTAACTCTAGGTTTCAAGGAAAGAAATAACAATAACTGGAAGGATAATGTAAGCCAAGAAACAGATAAGTAGCCACGAGAGAGCA